GCCAGTTCCGACTTACATACAGATTCAACTTAAGAACAAACCTACAGTCCCTATCTTGTACGTAACCCGGGGACTGCCTGTATTCTAATGATCACAGTTAAGCTTGTAACATAGCCCATCAGTACAAAACATATAATCAATTCTGCACAAACTGCAAAAAAACCCTGCAGTAGAATTACAGATTTTGCCACTGTCAGAAACACAAGGCAGTCACGTTAGTTTATTCAACTTAAGAACAAACCTACAGTCCCTATCTTGTACGTAACCCGGGGACTGCCTGTATTCTAATGATCACAGTTAAGCTTGTAACATAGCCCATCAGTACAAAACATATAATCAATTCTGCACAAACTGCAAAAAAACCCTGCAGTAGAATTACAGATTTTGCCACTGTCAGAAACACAAGGCAGTCACGTTAGTTTTTTTGGATGTGACATTCCAAACAAGCTAGAAGTTTTAGCCCAAGGGAGAGCATCTATCAAGCATTTAACAAAGTGACATGCCATTTACTGCAGTTTCCCCTCATACATACACACATACTTTGTGCAAACCACTTCTATTCTGTTATGTTGATTCAAACATGATGATTAGCGGCAGATAAAATAATATTATTTTTACAAATACAAATCTATGTATTTTCAGATTAGTTTTTAAGTTTCTGGTCACCAAATTCTCCAGAGAGTGTCTCAAATCCACACCACGTAGCTGACTGCTAGATCTTGCATTTGGATACATGATTTTGCTGAAATAGGTAAGACTTCTGGAACCTTTGGGGCTCATGAACCATTTCAGGATATCAGCCTTCTCAAACAAGCAATTCTAGCAAAGGTCTGAAATAAAGTTGCTCAATAAATTGCATTGACAATTGCTTTCCTCCCATTGCCCACAACAAAAAACAAAACAATTCCTCTTTTTGTGATATGTATTAATATGGAGGATACTAAAAACTGAGGACCAACCCTTTGGCATTAAAAGAGAATGAAGCAGTACAATTATTTTGAACAATAACTCTTGTCGCTCAAAGTCATAATTGGTTCCGAACCTACCAGAATATTCACACTTTGGCCCAGTGGTTCTCAACCTTTCCAGGCTACTGTAACCCTTTTAGGAGTCTGATTTGATTTTCATGTAAGTCATCTCACTTAAAAACAACTTGCATATAAAATCAGAAACACAAATACAAAAGCATCATAGCACCCTGTTACTGGTAAATGACTGACTTTCTTATTTTTGTCCTATAATTATAAAATAAATCAACTGGAATAGAAATCTTTTACTTTCATTTCAGCAAATAATATATAGAGCAATATAAACCAATTGTCTTTATGAAATTTTGGTTTGTGCTAGTTTTGAGAGTGCTGTTTAGGTATCCGATTGTAAAAGTAGACAAATAGATAATGAGATCATGTACCCTCTGGAAGAACTCTGCATATCCTTCAGGGTACATGTCCCTCATGCTAAGAACCACTGTCTTAGTCCTACAGCCTGGATAGACTTCTCTACTTAGGGTGTTACAAAATTCACTAGGTACATGAGTTCGTTTGGGATATTTAGCCAAAGTCTCTCATAGGGCAATGTCTGAAAGCCATAACTTCCTTTGCTTTAAAGAAGTGATAGAGTGAGAAAGGGGAGTGATTGCTGTGTATCCACAGTTTGTGTATAGGCCCTGTTTATATTACCATGGGTCATCAACATAAGTTACACAACTTTAGCTAGATGAATAATATAGCTGAAGTCGACATACTTAGCTCTTCTTATGGTGGTATCTTCACTGCAGTACAATGACAGCTGACACTCTCCCATTGACTCCACATACAGGCAGTCCCCGGGTTATGTACAAGATAGGGACTGTAGGTTTGTTCTTAAGTTGAATTTGTATGTAAGTTGGAACTGGTACATATTGTAGGGGAAACTCTAGCCAAACATTTCTCCAGAACTCAGTTTTATTCTCCCACACCTCACTTCCCTCAGTCCTTTATTCTCAAGCTGAGGTGTCTGCTGAGAAAAGCCGCTCCACGTCTCCCTGGTCTGCTGGGGGGAAGCAGCTAGTGCGGGGTTGCCTCACCCTGTTTGTAAGTAGGGATCCGATGTAAGTCGGATCCATGTAACCCGGGGACTGCCTGTACTTGTCTCATTTTGGTGGAGTAGCGGAGTTGATGAGAGAGCATTCAGTGATCAATCCAGTGGATAGCGAAGATATGCCCATAGGTTTTATGTGTGATTGGATCCAAACCAGGATAGCTCTGATTAGGGATGTGAATGGTTAATAACCATTTAATAAGTTAACTGGTAAGCATCATCTGGTACAGGTGATCCTTACTAGGTGATGCTTACCAGTTACAGTTTACTGGTGGGTTGGAGCAGCCTGCTGTGGGCGGGGGCTGCTCCAACCCTGTGGAGCCCTGTGGGGCCTGCCGTGGGCAGGCAGAACTCCAGACCTACTGGAGCAGCCCCTATCCACGGCGTGCCCAGCCTGGTCACTCCAATGTGCCTGCCTCCATTTAATATGTTAACTGGTTAAACATCTCTCACTATAAATAATGGGTTTTTTTCCCAGTGGGACGACAGAGTGACGTCATCATGTCATGCTGTGTCCCGCTGCCCCCTCTACCTTCAGCCACTCTGCCTCCTCTCTCCCTCCCCCCCTTCCTGGTACTGCGGGGCGGGAGCTATGCATCTTCCCCCATCATGGGGGGGCTGGGAGCGATGTGCCTCCTCCCTTGCAGGAGAGAATGGGGCAGGGAGGCTGGCAGCCGTGTGCCACTTGGCCTCCCCCCTCCCTGGTACACTGGGGGTGGGAGCCGCATGCACTCCCCCTCTCCTCACCACCAGCCCTGTCATCCACAGCCTCGGCCTAGACCCCAGACCCCTGAAGATGCATAACCTTTGCCCAAGACTCTGTACCTCCAGCCAGCTCATTCATATCCCCCACCCTGAGACCCTGCAGCCCCAGTCCCCTCACCATCCTGCCAAAACCCTGCACCTCCAGATCCTTCACTCACACCTTCTACTGGGACCCCACACCCCAAGCCTGCTCATGCCTCCTCTCCACATCCATACACCCACTCCCAGAGACGGGGATTGGTGAGTGAACGGGGGCAGAAGAAAGGTATTTTCATCCACTGCCTGCACCAGTCCCTAGCACTGTCTTCACAGCTGTGAGGGCAGTGCTTGTGGGGATGGGCAGCTTGCAGAGACACTGTCTCCCGCCCCCTAAGGAGTGTGGAGACATGTGCCAGCAGCCATCTGCTTGTGGAGCATTGTGGGGCCACATCACATAGGCAGCCTATCTGAGCCCTGCTGCACTGCTGGACTTTTAGAGGTCCAGAGATGGTGATCGACTGGATGAGGCTCCAGGATTGACCAGTCGATCACGATCAATGGGTTGGTGACTACTGGATTAGATGATCACACTGATCTCTTCTGACCTTTAAATTGTATCCATGAGTCTTCAGTGCTGTCAGTCTGGCTCCTTGCATGAAAACTGAGGGTTACTTTTTTAAATCAAGTAAGCAGTTAAATAAGTAGCAGTAAATCAAAATTTAAACAGGTATTAAAAGCATTTAAAAAGAAAAATAAGAAGTACTACAGACAAAAATTCCTCTTTTTTGGAACAACCATATCCAGCATACAAAATGTCTATTAAAGTCCATGGGAATGATACTCATCAAGGTCCAGATCCTCCAAGATATTTCTGCAAGTAACTCTAAGCACCGAAATACCTTTGAGGATTTAGGCCCAAGTACTCACAAAATCATGCCCTGTAAATATCATTTTAATGGAAGACTCTATTTACCACTTCACCTTGCCTACAATTGTTGTGTTAATATGTGTTAAACTTTCACTGTAATGTGAACAACATAGTTTTCAGTATAATGTTTGTGATGTTTTTCCCCCTCTCCTACAGTTGTGTTGGCCAGTTGGACTCAGCTCATATTTTTGTTAAATTTCACTTATATGGTTGCTGTTGAATACAGTCCCATCTCTTGTTGAGAGCAGAGATAACAGTCTGCAGGTTTCTCTGACACCATTGAATTTGGCCACTATCTTTGACTTCACCACGTGTTGCTGTTCTGAGGTCAATAAATGTGATTTTTGTCCTCATCTTAGCACAAGATGTGCTGGGCCTGACCCTCAGCTGGTGTAAATCAGCATAACTCCACTGAAGTCAATGGAGCATTGCCATTTTACTGCAGCTTTGGATCTGGCCCAGTGTCTTCAGAACATACTCGCTGCAGCTGGGGAGTGTAGTGGACAAGAACAATAAACTGTTATACTGCTCTGGCACTAATTTTTCTTAAAAGTTGCGTACACATTAGGCACTTTGTTGTTTTTACCACCTGTAGGTTCAGCCAAAAGAAAGTGAAGAGCACTTTAGAAAAACACAGTGCTGCAAAGTCAGCATAAAGAGAAATCCAAGCAAAACAAATGACCCAATAGTGTCTCAGACATTAAAGAATATTAATAAAAAAAAATCCAGACTCCATCACCACCTGCTGCTCAGTAAGACACTTATGTTTGTTGAGAAAATGTAACGGAAGTGCTATGTCAGAAACAAATTATCAGTTTGATTTTCATTTGTACATTAAGAAATACAGTATTTCCCATTTATGTCTTTAAAAAATGTGAACTTTTCAAAAAAAAATTAAAATTTGTTGAATTCAGTGATAGGCCTCAGTGGTTCAGGAGTCAATCAAAAAGTACCCCCAAAGAATCACACAGGAGTGTAAATTCATTGTATCATTTACTCTCTCTCTCCTATAATATTCTCACAGCAAAATGACTGACCAAATATTGTTTTATCTATTACAATTGGCTGTTAATAAAAGCACCGTGCTTAGTTAATAGCTTCTTCCGATTAATAATTGACCCGGTGTTTTATTGTCATGTGCTGCAAAGAGCCACAGAAGACCCGTGAAAAGGCACTGGTAGCACATGAGTCTCAGTCTGAGTATCACTGGTTTAATATATTCATAACTAAACAAAGTGCAATGCCCTATGCTCAGAAGGCAAGAAAAATGGACTGGTTGTAGCAAGCATTTCATATTGGTAAATTTCTTAATTTTTATTTTTATACTTTTTTTCTTGCTGGGTATATTTCACATATAGGACCCAATTAGGACTGAGAAACAGACACCTAACCTGTGGCTTCACTACACAGACTTTGAAGAATGGCTTGTATGCTGATGAAATCACCATCAGCCAGGGTAGGAAGTGGTCCAGAGAGGCCCCACTGTTGGGCCTTGGACTGGATTTCAGTGAAGAGGGTGGGCCTAGGCACTCCTAACCCCACCCAGCAAATAACACAATACCAGAGGCCTTCATCTAAGGGGAAAGGCCTACTGGAAGACCTTGATTATTCAAAGACTCAGCACTCACTACCCCAGACAGGAAAGCTGGAACCCCTGACTACTAAGGAGTACTATGGGCAGTGGCACATTGTTTACCATGGGTTATGCAGGAGGTAAAACTAGCTGATCATGATGCTTCATTCTGGCCTTGAAACTACTACTCACTTAGGGTATGTCTACACTACCCTCCTAGTTCGAACTAGGAGGGTAGTGTAGACATACCCTTAGGTACTGAACAAACAGATAAGATGCCATGGTACCTGGCCTACCTGTGAAGCCAATAGTAGTGCAAAATGCAGTGCATGATGGGAGGCTATACCTTCCCATAGCAAGATTTAAAATACAGAGCTAGCATATCTAAAGCTCAGGATGCGTAAAACTCTGGGGCTCTAATTTTTTT